GTTGTGAGGGATTTTTGAGATCCTTTTCTTCATATTTCCTAAGTATTGTCTAAATAATTTTAATGTTCAAAATGTAAAGAATATCGCCTGCAATGGAAAGAACAAAAGCAGTGACTGATGGGTAAAGAAGCAATTCTTAGTGGGTTTCCATTTGTTTGGCTAGAAAATTATATAGTTTGGGTGTTTGAATGTCGAGAAAATGTTTTCAATCTATTTGGTTACCGAGAAAACTATAATGTCCGTTAAAGAAAATTTGATGAGAAAATTATGATTTAATTATAAATTAATTTAGAATCTTAATTTTGATTAATATAAATAATTATAGTTTAATGATGATTAATTAGTAAATTTTGACTTAATATTATTTTTTATTTATATAAACATTTAAATTTAATTTAATTTGTTACATCATTAAAAAAATATAAAAAATGTCACGTAATTTGCCATGTCATCAAAAAACATCTATCTTTATTGGTGCTTTGGCAGGTAATGTGGGGTCCATTTGAGTGGATTTAATGCCTTAAGTTACGGGAACATGACATGGCAAAACGTTTTGTCTATATCATCATTTTTTAAAATTTTGCTTTTTACATCATCAAAAAAAATATAAAAAATGTCTCATGGCGTAGTTAACGGCCCAAATTAACGGAATGACTAATGGTGTGCATTTCTTAGGGTTGAGAGATAAAAAAAATGTAAAAAATTGTTGAAGGATAAAAAATGTGCATTTCTTAAAGTTGAGGGACAAAATTTAACATTTAACCATTTTAAAATTATTGATTTTGTTTAATTTGATCGTTAAAAATAATTAATAATTAATAAAATAATTAATATTTATTACTTAAAAAATTAAAATAAATTTATAAATTAATAGTTTTAGACATTATAACTAACTGTTTAAATAAAAAATTACAAACTAAAAAAATATCATTCAAACTAAATAAATAATATGTGATCTTAACAAAATTTTATGTGACTATAACCACACTACTTTTACTAGATTTTTTAAATCAAGAACAAATTTTCAAGATACATAATTGCTTATGCCTTATATATAATCAATTATTATATCCCATGCCTCTAAAATGTTTTATTCCAAGAGCAATTCATACCTTCATGGCTCGTGGGAAAATTCCTTCCAAACTTCCTGTGAACCAAACACAGCCTAAGGTTAAATAAAAACTTGGGTTTAGAATTAGATGCGTAGAAATGACACTTCACAGATCAGAGTTCAGACCATACTCATCTCGTATCGGGCCTGGTATGTTTCAGTTACATAGGTGAATAGAATATGAAGAATATTATAATTATAATCTTATAAAATATAAATCAATGATAATAGAAAATGATAATTTTTTTTTTATAATTTAAATTGTAAAATAAAAATTATTTGATAAAAAAAATTTAATATTAAGATATTTAATTTTTATTAAATAATTAATATGTTATAATTTAAATTAATTTAGACAATAAAAACTTAAAAATAAAAGGGCTTAAACTTCAAACTCCCCCCTTCCCAAACCACGAAGACCAAACCCGGCAAAAAAAAAAAAAGAGGAAGAGGTGGAAAAAAAAATGGTGAGGGGTGGTCGTAAAACGACGTCGGCGAGGTAATTTCCCTCGCGTCGCAGGCTCGCGTAACATCGCTGGCCGACCTGGATCTTCTGGAAGTCTCTGGCCAGAAGCAGCCCCTCGCCCTAGCTCCGCTCAGCCAGCGCCGCCATTTATCGGAACCTTAGGTAACCAGAAGAAGCGTGTTACATCGTACCGTCTTTTATCGTTCGAGTCCGATATCGGCAGCTCCACATCAAGAAGGTTCGTTATTCTTTTCCTCTCTGCAATTTCTCCCTTTTAATACTTTGCATCAAATTGTTTGTATGAAACCTAAGCAGAACTGATCTTAATTTTTTTTTTTTTTTATGTATATGAATCAAATTTTTTTGTTATTGATTCTATTTTTATTTTTTGGATGCATTGTGCATTTGATTGCTGATGCTGATTTTCTGCATTTTGGGTGGAATTTAACAGTGGAGGATATGGGTTTTTATAAGGTCAAAAAATTATAATTATAGGAATTTAATATGTGGAGAGTTACTGTACTGATGATGAGCTTTCAGGAGGTCCAAATTGGTATAGGCTAGTAGAGATTGTGCCTTAGATGCTGGGAATCACGTTTCGGTTGAATGTTCAGATGAAATAAACAGTTTTGATGCTTCCATCAAAATATCGTGCCTTCTTCAGTGAACTTCTTCAATGCACACAAAACAAGAACATCTCCAAAGGCCGTTCTTTGCATGCTCAAAGCATAAAAGCTGGATCCTTTTCATGCGTTTACCTTGCAAACAGTCTTGTAAACTTGTATGCCAAATGTGGCTGGTTGACTGATGCCAAGCTTGTATTTGAAACCATACAGGATAAAGACATTGTCTCATGGAACTGCATAATAAATGGATACTCTCAACAAGGCTCTATGGGGGCTCCTTTTGTCATGGAACTATTTCAGCGAATGAGAAGGGAGAATGCCTTACCTAATGCTCACACTTTTGCCGGTATCTTTACTGCTGCCTCGAATGTGTCAGACGCTTTTAGTGGGCAGCAAGCTCATGCACTTGCAATTAAAACTGACAGTTTTGATGATGTTTTTGTTGGGAGTTCACTTCTCAATATGTACTGCAAAGCAGGTCTTTTGGTGGAGGGTCGTAAGTTGTTTGATAGAATGCCAGAAAGGAATTCGGTTTCATGGGCCACAATGATTTCTGGGTATGCAATGCAGAGGTCTTCCAGGGAGGCTGTGGAGCTTTTTGAATTGCTACATCATGAAGAGGAGAAAGAGAATGAGTATATTTTAACTAGTGTTCTTAGTGCGTTGGCAGACCCTCAATTTATTGATACTGGCAGACAAATACATTGCCTCGTGTTTAAAAATGGTTTATTAGCTTTTGTGTCAATTGAGAATGCTCTTATTACCATGTATACGAAATGTGGGAGTGTGGATGATGCACTTCAGACGTTTAAATTATCAGGTGCTAAGAATTCTATCACATGGTCTGCCATGATCACTGGCTTTGCACAAAGTGGAGATTCACTAAAGGCATTGAAGTTGTTTTCAACCATGCATTTTACTGGAATGACCCCAAGTGAGTTTACACTTGTTGGGGTCCTTAATGCTTGTGCTGATGTTGGTGCTGTTGAACAGGGAAAGCAAGTGCATGATTACTTGTTGAAATTGGGATATGAATCACAAATATATATTATGACAGCTTTGGTTGATATGTATGCAAAATGTGGTAGCACAGTGGATGCTAGGAAGGGGTTTGATTATGTAAAACATCCTGATATGATTTTGTGGACTTCCATGATTGGAGGATGCGTACAAAATGGAGAGAATGAAGAAGCTTTGAGTTTATATGCTAGAATGCAGATTGAGGGGATTATGCCCAATGAGCTAACCATGGCCAGTGTTATGAAAGCATGTTCATCTCTGGCTGCTTTGGAGCAAGGGAGGCAAATTCATGCCCGTACTGTTAAGCATGGGTTTGGGCTGGAAGTTCCGATTGGAAGTGCCCTTTCCACCATGTATGCAAAGTGTGGGAGCCTGGAAGATGGAAACTTTGTATTTAGGAGGATGCCAGAGAAAGATGTAGTTTCATGGAATGCAATGATATCAGGGCTTTCTCAGAATGGCCATGGCTGTGAAGCACTTGAACTTTTTGAGGAGATGCTAAACGAGGGAACAAAGCCAGACTATGTTACATTTGTTAATGTTCTCTCAGCTTGTAGCCACATGGGATTGGTGGACAGAGGTCTAATTTATTTTGAAATGATGTCCAGTACATTTGGCATTGCTCCAAAAGTAGAGCACTATGCTTGTATGGTTGATCTTCTGAGCCGTGCAGGAAAGCTGAATGAAGCTAAGGAATTCATTGAATCAGCTAAAATAGACCATGGCATGTGCTTATGGCGTATTTTGTTGAGTGCTTGTCGAAACCATCGTAACTATGAATTAGGAGCCTATGCTGGTGAGAAACTAATGGAGTTGGGTTCTCAAGAATCATCTGCTTATGTGGTGTTGTCTAGTATATACAATGCCCTGGGCAGGTTAGAAGATGTAGAGAGGGTGAGGAGGATGATGAGACTTAGAGGGGTATACAAGGAGCCTGGTTGTAGCTGGATTGAACTTAAAGGTGGTGTTCATGTTTTTGTTGTTGGAGACCAGATGCATCCTGAGATTAAAGAAATACGTGAAGATTTAAGAATGTTATACAAACAAATGAAGGATGAAGGTTATCGACCTTCTTTTGATCAAATTTATGTAATTTCTAGTAGTAGTCAGGAAGTCAGCGATGAATTTGTTTCACAGTTTACTCCATTCCTTTCGTCAATTCATTTTTAGGATGATTTCTTATAGGTTTTGAGGACAATGCTAGAGCAATGGCCTTCTATTTTGCTTTTGAGGCCTATTCCGTTTTTGTTCTTCTCATAAGTTATATAATCACATTAACATAAACATTCAAATTCAACAGAATGACATTTCTTCTGAACAAGTAGGCAACTAAAATTTGTACTATATCTAGTTGTGTTTTGTGTTGCCATCCGGCTAATAGCTGATCTTTCACGAGTAGTTCAACAGATGATGCCCGTTGTTTGTCAGGCTCTCAGTTGCAAATCAAATGCACTTCAGCCTTTCTAGGTTGTGGAACCTGCATCACAAACAGATCATGATGGGAGGAGGTCAAGGGAAACCAACAAACCTAATGTTCAGAGTTTTCAGAAAGAATTGCCTCCTTCAGTGGCATTTTAACATTGGAATTGCTTTTCAAGGTTGTAATCGGAGTCTTTGTGCGAATTAGGTTGCATGGGGTTTGATTGGTTCTGCTCTGAAGGTGTAGGGTTGTAGTTGAAATGTTTGTCATCTCTATCAAATTTCTCTAGATGTACTATTTGGTCATTGATGTGTCAAACTGTGTACAGCGGCCATAATTCGTATAAACTATACAGCAAAGAATAGTAATTTTCTTTCTAAGTCCTTTCTCACTCTTTTTAACTTTAAATTTGAGATTTTTTTTTTTTACAAGGAAAATGATTATTAGGTTAGTTTTATTAATTGTTAACAATTAAAAATTTGATTATCAAATCTGATGAACATCTCATCTCTTTTAATGAAACGTGTGACTCATCAATCCACTGCTTGGTGGAGTTCTTGAATTTGAGATATTTGATAGTGACAAAAGGATTCAAATTTCGAACCAGAACATAGACCCAAAACCACCTTTTTTATTGGAAAATGTACTTTGAGGAGAAGTTGGAACTCGGAACCTTTTCCTGAATGTACTCCTATTTCAACTGCTGGGGGAACAAGGATTCCAGTACCCAATCCCAGGAGTCGGAACCCTCCGTTTGCTGTCCGCTTTCACACTTTAATACTATTCATGCCTGCAACTTACTTACCTCCATTCGACCACCATTATTAATGTCATATCATGGGTATTAAATTATATAAAATATTACATTTAAAAATATTAATTTTA